AGCCAGCAAGTCTGTTTTACAATAACCATGCGCAACCCTTTCTGTGGATGACAAGGCAGGGAAAGATGTCATCCATCAAGTTCTCTAGAGAGGGCTGTGTGAGAGGGAGCCAGTGAGAGTGCTGAGAGGAAAGAACCATCATGAATCAAAAGCCCAGTACAACCTCCAGTTTCTTGGAAATTAAAAGGAGAAATTCTGAGGCACGATTCTGGTGATGAGATCTGGTGATACCCCTGCTTGGGAGTCACCAACCCATGCATGGAAACAACCCAAAATGGCTCCCTCATGCATGTATTGTGTATAAATAATAAATAATTATTATAAATTATTATTATGATGCCTACTTTATGTGCACATGGAGAATCTCTCTCTCTGACAAAACGAGAAGCCAATGTGAACTGCGATGTTGTCATGGAGATTGTCCACACAGGAAAATGTATATTATTGAGAAGCTTACAATTTTATCTCAGTCACTCCCCACGAATGGGAGTACTTGAACTTTCAAGGGAGCCATTGCTCCAGAGTAAAAAAAATGTTTCTATTCAAATGAGTGGATCTTTCTCCAAGAGGGTGGAGGATGGGGCTTGGGACATTTGCTAGTTTTCGCTAAAAGATGATCAGAAACACCTTTAAATGGTGGTTTGGAAGTGTAAAATGCACTGATAAACGCTGCCTGACAAATATCTGTTAGAAGAAGAAGAAGAAGGAGGAGGAGGAGGAGGAGGAGGAGGACCACCTTTGTTATGAGGGGCATTAAGGGGAGAAATGATCCTTCCCTAGTCCTGAAGATAATTTGAATATGTATGCTTCTTGAGTAATAATAATAATAATAATAATAATAATAATTTATTATTTATACCCCGCCCATCTGGCTGGGCCTCCCCAGCCACTCTGGGCGGCTTCCATAAAAACCAAAAATACAATAAAATATCACATGTTAAAAACTTCCCTGAACAGGGCTGCCTTAAGATGTCTCTTGAATGTCAGGTAGTTATTTATCACTTTGACATCTGCTGGAAGGGCGTTCCACAGGGTGGGCGCCACTACCGAGAAGGCCCTCTGCCTGGTTCCCTGTAGCTTTGCTTCTCGCAATGAGGGAACCGCCAGAAGGCCCTCGGCGCTGGACCTCAGCGTCCGGGCAGAATGATGGGGGTGGAGACGCTCCTTCAGGTATACTGGACCGAGGCCGTTTAGGGCTTTAAAGGTCAGCACCAACACTTTGAATTGTGCTCGGAAACGTACTGGGAGCCAATGCAGGTCTTTCAAGACCGGTGTTATATGGTCTCGGCGGCCGCTCCCAGTCACCAGTCTAGCTGCCGCATTCTGGATTAGTTGTAGTTTCCGAGTCACCTTCAAAGGTAGCCCCACGTAGAGTGCATTGCAGTAGTCCAAGCGGGAGATAACCAGAGCATGCACCACTCTGGCGAGACAGTCCGCAGGCAGATAGGGTCTCAGCCTACGTACCAGATGGAGCTGGTAAACAGCTGCCCTGGACACGGATTTGACCTGTGCCTCCATGGACAGCTGTGAGTCCAAAATGACTCCCAGGCTGCGCACCTGGTCCTTCAGGGGCACAGTTACCCCATTCAGGACCAGGGAATCCTCCACACCTGCCCGCCTCTTGTCCCCCAAAAACAGTACTTCTGTCTTGTCAGGATTCAACCTCAATCTGTTAGCCGCCATCCATCCTCCAACCGCCTCCAGACACTCACACAGGACCTTCACCGCCTTCACTGGTTCTGATTTAAAAGAGAGGTAGAGCTGGGTATCATCCGCATACTGATGAACACCCAGCCCAAACCTCCTGATGATCTCTCCCAGCGGCTGCATGTAAATGTTGAAAAGCATGGGGGAGAGGACAGAACCCTGAGGCACCCCACAAGTGAGAGCCCAGGGGTCTGAACACTCATCCCCCCCCACCACTTTCTGAACACGGCCCAGGAGGAAGGAGCGGAACCACTGTATAACAGTGCCCCCAGCTCCCAGCCCCTCAAGACGGTCCAGAAGGATGCTATGGTCGATGGTATCAAACGCCGCTGAGAGATCCAGCAGAACTAGGAAACAGCTCTCACCTTTGTCCCTAGCCCGCCAGAGATCATCAACCAGTGCGACCAAGGCAGTTTCAGTCCCATGATGAGGCCTGAATCCCGACTGGAAGGGATCCAAATGGTCCGCTTCTTCCAGGCGTGCCTGGAGTTGTTCGGCAACCGCTCGCTCAATCACCTTGCCCAGGAATGGAAGATTTGAGACTGGGTGATAGTTGGCCATCGTGGCCGCATCTAAAGATGGTTTTTTAAGAAGCGGTTTAATAACCGCCTCTTTCAGCGGGTCTGGGAAGGCTCCCTCACGGAGGGAAGCATTCACCACCCCACGAAGCCCATTGCCCAGTCCTTCCCGGCTAGCTTTTATAAGCCAGGATGGGCAAGGATCCAGGAGACAGGTGGTTGGTTTCACTCGTCCAAGCAGCCTGTCCACATCCTCGGAGGTAACAGATTGGAATTGATCCCACTCAACTTGACTAGACAGAACTCTAGCACTCTCCCGCCCCGGCCCTGCTCCCACGGTGGAGTCAACTTCTTCCCGAATCTGAGCGATTTTATCTGCAAAAAACTTTGCAAAATCATTGCAGGAGAACATGTGGCCCGTACTGGGCCCCGATGTTGCAGGTGGTTCCGCTAAATTGTGAACCACCTGAAAAAGTCTCCTGCTGCTGTTTTCTGCAGATGCAATAGAGGCGGTGAAGAAATTCTTCTTCGCCGTCGCTATCGCCACTTGGTAGGCTCGACGTTGAGCTCTAACCTGTGTCCGGTCAGATTCGGAATGAGTTCTCCGCCACCGGCGCTCTAGCCGTCTCAACGATTGTTTCATTGCCCTCAGATCCGTGGAAAACCACGGGGCTGTCCGGGCTCCATGCAATCGGAGAGGGCGCTTCGGAGCCAAACAGTCAATAGCCCTGGTTAACTCCACATTCCAGCGGGCCACCAGGGAATCAGCTGAAAGGCCATCAACATGGGATAAAGCATCCCCTACCACTCTCTGGAAACCATTTGGATCCATTAAGTGGCGGGGGCGGACCATCCGAATTGGTCCCACCTCCCTGCAGAGGGGATGGGTCGCAGAGAAGTCCAGTTGCACCAGGAAGTGATCTGACCATGGCACTTCTTTCGTTTCGCTTTTACTTAGTGTCAGATCACCAACATCCATAGAGGTAAACACCAGGTCCAAGGCATGTCCACGGCTATGGGTTGGGCCAGACTTATTCAGGGACAGCCCCATGGAGGCCATGCTTTCCACGAAGTCCCGAGCGGCCCCTTGTAAGGTCGTGTCGGCATGGATGTTAAAATCCCCTAGGACGACCAAGCTAGGTGTCTCCAGGAGAACATCCGCCACGACCTGAAGCAGCTCGGGCAGGGAATCCTTGGTGCAGCGGGGAGGTCGGTACACCAAAAGGAATCCTGTACTGCCCCTATTGCCCAACTTCCAGAACATGCACTCAGAAAACTGGGTCTTCCCAACTGGACGCCTGGTGCAAACTAATGACTTCCTAAAAATCACTGCAACCCCCCCTCCCCGCCCACATGACCTGGGTTGCTGTGCGTAAGAGAAACCTGGTGGACAAGCAGCGGCAAGGACAGGCCCATCTGCTTCATCCAACCAGGTCTCTGTTATACATGCCAGGTCAAATCCTCCATCCATGATCAAGTCATGGATGGCAGTGGTCTTATGAATCATTGACCTGGCATTGCACAGCAGCACCTTCAGGTCATGTGGGTATCCCTTGCTGATTCTAGTATCCATCCGGTCAGGACCAGACCCGGAGGCAGGGATAGTCCTCAGACAACGACTAAACCTGCCTCCTCTGTAATGACAGGGTCTGGTCTTAGCGTAACTCCTCCTCCTACCCGTGATCACTGAGATCGGTTGTCCCAGTGCATCCCGCCCTGTGGAACATGCCCCAGCCATTTTATGGGCTGGGGCCCACTCCCCGGCAGCCCTGAACCCTCCCCCTAAAAACAAAATAACACCTTAAACAAACAAACAAAACCAATAAAACAATACAAACGAAAAATGTAAAAATTATAAAAACATCAAAATAATAAAAAAAAAATAATTCCCCAAACCAAACCAACATCCATCCCACCCCCACCCCGCACATACAAAAAATCCAAAGAATTGAAAAACAAACAAAAAAAACACATTTTAAAAACACTCTGTGCCTCTCCGGCAGTAACAACTGTCCTAGTGAGGCCTGTCAGGCCCCGCCCTGGGCTAGATGGTAAGTGGCAGGAAGGAGCACTCACTCAGGGAGTCTTCCTGGGCAGCAGGCCGCAAGCAGCACGCAGTCCTTATGAGGCCCCAGGCCCCGCCCCAGGCCAGATGGTAAGTGGCAGGAAGGAGCAGGGCCCTCAAGCACTCACTCAGGGAGTCTTCCTGGGCAGCAGGCCGCAAGCAGCACGCAGTCCTTATGAGGCCCCAGGCCCCGCCCCAGGCCAGATGGTAAGTGGCAAGAGCAGGGCCCTCAAGCACTCACTCAGGGAGTCTTCCTGGGCAGCAGGCCGCAAGCAGCACGCAGTCCTTATGAGGCCCCGCCCCAGGCCAGATGGTAAGTGGCAAGAGCAGGGCCCTCAAGCACTCACTCAGTGAAGGAACTAGGCATAGTGAGGGAACTATCTATTGCCAGAACATATCTGCTGTCAGGGAAAGAGAATGACTCCTTCTCCAGAGAACGTGCAAGCCTACATAAATCTGCAGTTGCCAAATGGATATGAGAAAAGGCTTCACAGTCAACTAGATGATATAAACAACAGGATGCAAAAAGGTGGGGAAAGAAAACTAGCATTTATCTTTGACAAGCTAGCTTAAATTTGTTTTCAACAGCATTTTTTGGGGTGACTTGTTCTTTAAATGATTTTTTTTTTTGCTGCTGGAAACCAGTCGGGGCAGGGGTAGATCATGGTGCTGTGTTTTATTTTTTAAATAGTAAAGTATATGCTACTTACCCATTCTGAATAGCGGCCGTGGGGTCATATGTCAAGGCCATGCCAGCCTGTACACAGTTAGGGGGGAAAACAGAAGGTTACTCTTTTTATATCACACATACACACAACAACCAAGGAAAAAGGGGAGAAATTAGAGAACCCACTATATAACCCCCCCCTTTTTTGGTCTTAAATTGACTTTTAGTGCTTTTAAAAACTTGCATTCTATTGATGTCAGTTTCGTGCTGTGCCAAATGCTGCTTCTATTTTCACAAAAGTCTTCATTCACCATAAAAGAGGCATTGTTGTTTTTCTGTCTCTCTTGCCGAGAGCGGAGGAACTTAGAAGAAATGTTGTGGTGTCTGTGTGCAGGTTGTGCTTCACAAATGTGAGTGGTGCCTGGGTGGTCTTTCCCCGCTTTGCAAGTTGGAGGGTTGCAAGTTGCAATTTTTCTCTGGAGTTTATGAAAGTCCCATTTGTGCTTAGAGTGGTTTGAGGTTCTTTGTACACAGCTTATATCCTAGAATCCCCATTTGGCTACAGAATGGTCATTCTAGGAAGCAGCGCCAGAATGTACTACGTTATATCAGGAGCTCATAGGTGCAGGGAGAGACCTCAGGAATTGTGGTGTTTTTTTGTAATGAAGTAGAAAAATGACCATTTGGCCACTTCATACATTCAGTAAGCAATGTGCAAAGTTCTCTCCTCTACTCTCCTTGCAAACCACTTTGGTTCATCTTCACCCTCTTGAATTGCCCCCCAAGATGGAGGTGAAAGATGCAACACCATGTAGATATTTTTATTCTCCAAGAAATAGGATACAATTGCCCGGCAAATGTGTTCTGTTTATTTCCACTGATTTGCACCTTCTGTGCTGTCTGTTATTTTATTTTTCTTTAGCTGAATGTGTCAAGCATTTAAAAAGCTCAGTTTAGAGCCCATGATAGCAATCATGCTTTTCTGTATTGGAGACTTTAATCCTGTTGTGGATCAGAGCCATAGCTAGGTGATCTTATGCCCCTGGCAGAACCATCCAGATTGCGCCCCTAGCCATGGACAAATGAACTCATCTTTCCACCTCTCCTCCAACCCTCCCTCCACCCATTCAATTCCTCACACACTTCACCTTGTAATGAATTCTTTCACAGAAAAGCCAATATTTATTTTTTAAACCAATTTTGAGAGGGCCCCCTCGCCTGCACCCCTGGCGGGGACCTTTATCACCACCCCCTAGCTGCAGCCCTGCGCCTTATAGACCATGACTAGGATACGAACTACAAAACAGTTAAATGGTGTAAAATGTAAGCTGGTTCACATTCATTCCCTTCTTACAGACAAACGATCAGTTACTAAACCAGCAAAACTATGTTGAGACACAATAATTATTAGGCCCGGGCAGTTATGTTCAGTGGTACTGTAATGATAACATTACCCCAATGACTTGGGATGTTGCTTTTAAACCAGGAAAATGAGATAAAACTGCAACGCTGGTAACAGCAACCACTCTTGGACCTGACATCGCAAAATACAGTTGTGCTATATTTTACCCTGTTTATTCTGCTTACTCAATGAGCGGGGTGTTCAGATCGTGTAATAATGTTTAAAATGTAAAAGGAATCAGAGGAACTGAGTGTCAGCTCTTAATGCCAACCGTGGGCCAATCATCCAATGCAATCCATACCATTATTGGTTATTTCCCTTTTGACTGACAGTGCTGACTGGCAGAGCCAGTGTGGTGTAGTGGTTAAGAGCGGTAGTCTCGTAATCTGGGGAACCGGGTTCACTTCTCCGCTCCTCCACATGCAGCTGCTGGGTGACCTTGGGCCAATCACACTTCTCTGAAGTCTCTCAGCCCCACTCACCTCACAGAGTGTTTGTTGTGGGGGAGGAAGGGAAAAGGAGATTGTTAGCCACTTTGAGACCCCTTAAGGGGAGTGAAAGGCGGGATATCAAGTCCAAATTCCTCCTGTAAACTGATAGACAGTGTGTCATCAGAGGTCTATACACCTTTTGTATGCTTGTCTCCATCTTCTTCAGTTGGAAAAATAAAAGCAAACAGCCTGCCTACTGGTATGAACTTGTAATTTAAGTGCAATGTCAGCCTGACAAGGTGAGCCGTACAGAGGAGGATGACTGGCACACATAATGACCCAAATAAATGAGATGGACTATAACTCGAAAGCCCAGCCAGAAAGCGAGATGCAAGGTAGAAAGTAAACAATAAGGATCTGGAAACTAATAAGCATGTGGTAGACACATAAGGAAGAGAAGAGGAGAGCAAATGGGTCATAGGAATTGTTTAGAAGTTGGAAGAAACATGGGGGATGATTTGGCAAAAAAAGAAAAAAGAAAATAAACAAACAGAAAGAGAATAAACCTTCCTCATTGTAAGTATTCTGAGCTAGAAGCTCTTTGAAGAAGAAAAGGATGGAGCCAACAGTTCAAATGAGATTTGGTTTAAACATTCCTGTAGTAAAATAAGCTTTACACATTGGGTGAGTTAACTTGGCAATAATCTTTCTTTTGATAATTCATGACAGTTTTAACTTTTTAAAAAAATACTGTGTGATTGAAAGGCTTACAATTTTTTTAAAAAAGACATTTTAAACAATAAATCAAACATTTAGACGTAGCATGTTATGAACATACAGCTGTACGTTCAAGAAATAAGATGTTCTCCCCAATGAAACACGCTGAGAGACACTCATTTCAACATATATATTCTCACTGATATGCTATGAAAATAATATTTCTGGCTTCTATTAAGGTTGTCTGTGCAGTTTTGAGTAAGACCTGTATGGGACTGAGTTAGGCCAAGCCAAGTCAGCTCCAAATCCACAAACATGTTTATATAAAAAATGGTCCAGGAATTCAGAATTCTTTCCTAGCAGTTATCCCCTGCTAAGCTCTATTGCCTCTTACTAGGCAATCCCTAGGATTACCTTTGATGCTGACACCCTTTTTTGAAAATGGCTTGTATTTAAAACCACACTGCGCGTAGCTGCAGAATACATTTCAATGCACACTGCATGAAAAATAAACATGACATTAATGGAACCAGTGTATTTGATTTTAATACAGTGACTGTTCCAATCTATTATAAATGCTTACAGCTGACATTTCCAATACCGGGTGCTCAGAAATGGTAGCCATTTATGTTAACATTAGAGAAGCTTGATGAATTTGATCTTTGTGAATTAGATTGTGAAGTAATCTGATCTTAACTCCTCGGACTAATGTGCTAACTGAAATATTACCACCCTTCTGATTTTGCACTCTTCCAAATTCTCCTCAGCTCAAAAAAATTCCAAAATGCATTTAACGAGCATATTTTAGGATACAAATATTTAGAAATGTGTGTGTGTGTAGTTGTTTTATTTATTTTTATGTATTTATATGCATTATGTACATATTTTCATTTTAAGAAATAAAATAAAAATGTACATCAAAGCAGAATCAGGAAGAAATGGATTCATGAACACAAAATTGGCACACGTCCTGAACTGAACCATGTTCTCCTTGTAGCTATCACTGCTACCTGCTGCTCATTGCGTGAGAACAGGGAACCAGATAAGAGAGGCAGCTGGAGAGGGTGTCAAGGGCTCTGATCCATGATGGACCTTCTGTCAAGATGTCATCAGGCACATAATGCTATCAACTCTTGATGCTAGCCCTAGCAATAATGAAAGGGGAAAGGTGTAGGTTCACTGGGAGGGGGATCCATTCTTTCCATACGCATCTTATTCTGTTCCTCACTAATTTTGCTTTGGTTGAAGCATAAAAACAGCAAAAATTAACTAGATACTGAAGGAGTTAAGAAGCTTGGAAAGATTAAGCCTGCACCCAATCTGATGTGAATGTTATGAGTCCTTAAATATCTTTTCCAGTATTTGTTATCTTCTGATTTGTACTATTTATTACAGTATCTCCTGATTGTTTCAAGGAGAAACATTGCTTTATAGATGTACCTCCCAGATTAGCTCCAAAGACTCTCCTCCCTGGAAGAGAGGGGAGCGGTTGTGGGCGGGAGACCGAGCTCCGCCCCTCTTAGGGGGCCTTAGCCCCCTCCCCTCCTTACTTGGCTGGCACCCACGCCCACTGGAGGCAGCCAACCAGGTGCCTCCGGGGGGCGTGTGTAGCAGCTTAATGCTGTGGTGCCAGCTCCGCCTCCTCCTCATTCATCGTCGTCCCTCAGCGAGTCATGCAGGGAAGAGCTCAACCATGAGGTTTGGAGTCGGGGGGGTGTTTGTGTGTGTGGAGGCTGTCTGGTTCCTGGCTTGCCTTTTTTAATTTAGGAGGCTTGTGTGCGCTCATTGCTTTACTGCTTTAAAAAAAACCTAGGCACCCAAGTTTGCCTTGCTGTCTTGCTGTGTCCTCTTTTCTGTGTAAAAACCTACATTTTATTTCCCCCCACTCCTGGTGCTGGATTTGTTTGGGCGGTTTAAGTGTGAATTACCTTTCTTAAGCTGCAGCTTTTTCCTTTGCCCAGCACATGGTCTCTCCACCACCAGCGAGGTCTGAGTGTGAGTGCCGTGGCGGTTAGGCATTGGATTCATGTGTTGTGCTGTGTCAAGGGCTAGGTGTGGCCATCGCCTATGCTATCTACCGTGGGTTATTCCGTTAAAGGAATCTGGCGGTCGTGTATTCCGTCCGATGCCTGCTTGGCGGGAGGCCATGGCACGACCCTCGGTGACATCAGGGGGTGAGCCTATAGTTGGATTAGCATCAACAGGCTCCACCTACTGTTGAATAAACCCACCTCCTATAGTCATCCAATGCCTAAGCCAATACCTTTTCACTGCTGTAATCAATAAGGTTGTGGCCTTTCCTTGCCCATTAACCTCATATCACGTGTCCTTGTGTATTTATTTCACATAGCGGGGGTCGGGCCCTCGATCCACAAATCACCTGGTATTCCAACAGAGGGCCAGCAAAACCCCCAAAATCTATGCTCCATAGGCCTGAGGACCTGCAAGTGAATGTATGAAAGACAAGTACCACATGTGCTTTGTGCACTGGAACTATTTGAACTGACACAGCTAAACATTATGGCTGTGATCCTAAATGT